TCTTCGGCCGGAAGTGTAAATCCTTGATTATTGAGAAATCGGTGTTGACAATGTCTTTTCAGCCCTTAATAAAAGATGTTCCTCTACTCAAAATACCTATAGTTTTTTAAAAGCGTTTGAGAGGTTGTTTTCTGACTTTTAGGAGAAAATCGGGATTTCGGTCGGACGTTCTATAGATTTGTTACACATTTCCTATCATAATAACTGCTACCTCACTGGCAGTTGGTATATTATAGCATTGTGAATCTATATTTCTGTTTGCCTTGACTACCATTGAAAGCATTGTAGCAGGTTCCTGTGTTAATATATTACATACTTATCGAAAAACTCTAACATATGAATTTATTAGATCCAGTATTCTCTGCAAATCCATAAGTACAGTAGCATTTAGAGAGGGCATTATATTCATTTTATTCTATACTTAATGCTTTATGTCATAAATATAAAGCTGAGTAAAATATGGAAAATCTGCATCTTAAATAGATAACAGGGATCCAATGTTATAATATAACTCTCCATGGATGCGAAATGTATAAACATTTGAATAATAATGATTGTAAAAAAAAAAAGTTCTAATTATTATACTATAATAGCAGGTAATAAGAATAATAATATATATTTAGTACCTGAAACATGATTATCAATATTCACACCTATGGAGGTAAAGGTCAATGCTAAATTGTATGATCGAATTAACTGATGAAAGTTGTGTGCTCTAGTATTAGCACCAGTAAGAAGCATATATAGTACAGATGAGGATTCTGTAGAGCTGAAAGAATAACCTTGCCTTTTGCACAACAACCTGTAAAAATAGGTGAACGTTTTTTTGAATTTGCCTTTCTTATTTTTAACCACATGCTAGTATCACAATTTTGACATATTTGATCCATTCTACCTAGACAATGTCATTTTAGAGTATCTGGTTGAAATGTATATAGTACTGTCGATAAAGAATCAATATGTAAAAAAATGGAAGAAGCAATGGCAGAAATAATTGATGCTAAATATATAAAAAAAAAAATTAGAATTTTTAATTGCAAATATTCGATATAGACATTAATATACATATATTACCTGCATTATTATTATTAGAAACATAAATTTTTCTCAGTATACACATTCGAGCAGTATTCGATTCACATTGATAAAGAATATCTTCAGATGTTTGGGCTGTTCTGTGTATACATATGGAAGCAGCATTGTGTACTCTTCTTGTTTCAATTTCACTTGCAAATTGTTGATTTCATCACATATATGTTCTTTCTCTATGTTTCTTAAGTTATTGACTTCTTTGCCTATTCTCATATGATTTCTCTTGCATTTGTTAATCACAAGAAAGTTGGTAAATATATAATAAGAATATATATTTGAAACAGAAGAGCAAAATCAGAAAATTGAAAATAAGTTAACATATACATTGTATATAGTTACTTATAAAATTATCTATAATACATTATATATATTATATCAATTATCTTATAGGAAAAGATAATATATGCATATTTGATATAAATACTATGAAATTAGTAAATGGAAGTTAATATACATATTGTGCATAGTTAATTACACACAAAACTATCTCTAATACGTCATATATACTATATCAATTATTTTATTAGTTCTTAACAAAGAATTATTATTTTTTAGTATTAAAAATAGAGTTAGAGATTATTTGACTTTCAATGATACATTGCAAAAAATTGGATTATTTTTTTATTTTATTTTTATATATACAGTATATAGAGCATATATAATATATTCTTTAATTATATCACATCATTTAATTTATTACTTAAATATATTTTAAGTATAATTTTTAATGCTTAAATAAAATTTAGCTTATGTATGTAATTTATTACTTAAATCTTTTTAAGTATAATTTTGATCATATTTTAACGTTATTTTCAATTAAGCAGATGATATTTATTTGTGATCACCCTTATGACACTCATGTATCGTGAATTATAAAAAGTTCAAGTTTGTTAGAACCATTGGAACTGAACTGGTCATAGTACCAACATTATATTTTAGAAGTGATTAAGAATTAATTAGTATTACTACTTGCAACTGTGAAATTTCTAGTTTAGGTGCTCAATAATGATTAATCAATTGTAATGAAATTTGCAATCAATATATAATCAATAGTTTATTTGCTCAGAAATTTGTACAAATAACAAAAATATTTTATCCATAATAAGTCGATAATATATGCCTATGAAAACTTACATTTTTTAAAGAAGATTGACAAAACAATATTTAGTAAGCAAGACCATTAGTGCTGATTCTCTTTCAATAACAAATGAATCAGATAATGAAATATTGATGGGCATTAAGTAAGTTCGATCTTAATAATGAATAGTAATAATACTGTTGAGAGTCACCTGACCAAATAGTAACTTGACCAATCAATTAGATTACATTGAGGCACACACACATATACATGACTGCTTCTTTTTTTTACTTTATAGATTACTATTTTCATTAATTATAAAATCACAAAAATTGATATTGATATTACTTAATATATTAATAATTAAAATAATAAAATTCAAATATTATTATTTATACTTAATTAAATTAATTTAAATTAACTTATTTTTTTTAGTTTATAAGCTTTAATTAACATATTATATATCAAATTTCATTATGTTTTAATATTCAATATAATTATTTTATTACAATAGATAACAGTTACTATTAATAACTAACTTTTTTAAACTTAATTGATTAAAAAAGATAAGAAACGAAGGATATTTAAGACATGCATTTTTTTTTGTACTTTAGAAGCATTTAAACTATTAAACTTTCTTACAATATTTCATATTGCTAACTTGTTATAACCAATGATAATCAAATCTTTTTTGTTACTTATTAATTATAAAAAAAAATAAATTATATTTTGTTTAATCTGAATTGATTTGTTATACAAACTTGTTTTAAAATAGTATTAGCTAGGTATTACAAACAACCTTGAGAAAAAAAAACTGAAAAAAAATTTTTTTTAAAAAAAAAAATAGAAATTGATTTTTGCTCTAATTTAAAAATAATAATTTGTCTTGCTTATTGCATAACTTTTGTGCAATATAATTAAATAATATAAAATTTTGATATATTGTATTCCAGAAGTTATCAAACACATGACAAAAATTTCATATAGAATTTATTTGTCCAATATGAAGCAATTATGATTTCAAAAGTATTTACAATTTATTGGTAGGCCACTGTATATAAAAATCTTGTTTAAATCATTTATTGAACTTGATAATTTATATTTTTATATAATATAAAATATATCAGATATTTACTGTATGTTAAAAAAGATAACTGGTTAACATATATAGAGATATATCTCAGTATCTTAATATTGATCATGTAACATTTGAGAAGTGCCTCACTTAATATAAAAAAAACACAATTTCTAACATTTAAAAATAATTATTTAAATTAATCCTGAAATATAAGATTTCTTAATAACAATATATAAACCAAATCCCGAATTTATATACGTATTATATTCCTTGAGATTCCTTTGTCAGGAGTTGATCAAATATATTTTTGGGATTTATGCATTCATGCGTATCAATGTAGATTTTCAGGACGCCTTCGAAAATAATTACCTTTCTAAGTAAAATTTTCGATTAATCGCTTAGAAATAATACAAGTTAATGGTAAATCCCTATATTAATATTTTAGTGTTTTAAAAAAGGTAAAGATCAATTGTTAGCAAGTTTACGGATTTTTCTGGATCCTGTGATTTTGATCCTAAAATTTGATATAGGGACCGAAAAAATCTATAGTCGGTATTTTTTTATCACCTTCAACCATTTTTTTAACGTAAGCCTGTAGTCTGGATTTGAGGCTGACACAAATGTATGTTCGCTATGCGTGTATGGTAGTTTCGTTTTGAAAAATTTAACCAATACCCTATGCATGATATCATTATTTAAAATAATTTTTCTAGATAATATCGATCACTCAAACGATGACATACATAAATGGATTTGTACAAGGTAATGATGCACATCAATAATAATATTGCGTGCGGATCGACTTTTTCTCAATGAGACACTCAATGATAGGTTCCAGTAATTGTTTTTCTGATGTATGACGCGTTTAATCGTACCTCCTCTCTCTCGTTTCAACAAACAACCAGAGTTTCGTTTATTTACAACGTAACTTTGTGGTAATGCACTCCTACCATCCTCTCTCTCATCACTATATTCTATATCAAGTCTTTTGTTTCAATAACTCCCAACGAGAATTCTATAATTATGCGTTTGTGAACTCTCAGTGGAATGTGACGGTCTCGCCTTTTTTGTACAAGGCGCCAAAGCTCATTGAGAGAAATGTCGAAAAGTGTCGACAAACTCTTTGTCTTGCAAAGGAAAAAAAAGCCACGTTAGCATACAACGAAATGGTAAGGGAATGGAACATTAGGGACGCAGAGTTAGCATACCTTATATCGGATTATTGTCCTAATATCGAAAAAATTTCGTGTAGTGGTGAAATTGCTAACGCTCGGGCGTACCCCTCGATGATCCACGATTTAATTAAATCCTGGAAGAATCTAAGGTCCATATCTCTATCCCATAAAAATGGGACAGACGAATCGTTAACACAGGTGTCAATTCATTGTACGGAACTGGAGGAATTGGTGGTTGTGAATGGTGAAGTGACTGATCTCGGAATTTGTGAGGTGGTCAAAAGGTGTAGGAAACTAAAGGAAATCACATTGCACTCTTGCAAAGAGATAACCGACGAAACTTTTGTCTCGATGTCAAAATATTGCAAATTGTCGAAACTGCAGTTGAAGCATTGTCCGAGGATCACTGACAAAGGAATCCTTGCGCTGGCCAATCCAACATTTACGAAAAGGTTACGATATTTACATTTGGAAGACATTGGAGTCAGAGATTCCCTTCTGGCGTTAGCCGAACACACAAATACGCTTGAAGGGTTATGCTTCAATCGATTGAAAGATGTGGATGATGAGGTTGTTTCAGCATTCGGAAGGAATGCGTCATATTCTTTAAAGCAATTACGTGTGTACAGCTGTAGATCGGTTAAAGGTTGGGGAGTGATGGAATTTGGTGGGATCAAAGGGTTGTCATTGATGATGGATACCTTAGGCTTGGAGCAATTGAGCGGAATCTGCGAATATTGTAAAGATCTTGAAGATCTGACTCTAGATGTTCGAAGGATCGTTACAGCCGATTCCACTATGGTACGCATTATGCTTACGATGATTTTTTTTTCTTAACTCATTGGTTCGTTTCACACACACACGCGCGCATTTATTTATTTATTTAGGACATCGTCCGCGAAATTTCCAAGCTCACAAAGCTTAAATCATTAGCGATTTTCTGCGGCAAAAAATTTCACAGTTCCAATGTTTTACAGCTTAAAAAAAATTGCAAAAAATTAAAACAGATTAATTTGTGAGTCATATTATACCGAGGACATTCTTGATATATTTTACATTTGTCTTTTTCTTGCGTCTTGAAGCTTTAGGATTTTGGATTGAGCTGCTTTTTCTCTAAATAAATGACTGACTTGCATTAAAATGCAAATCGGTGTGAATTCAAATAATCGGTGTAAACTCCAGGGGTTTTGCAAAGAGATCCCACGTATTATTGGACGGACGGTATTTGATGCTATTGATCATCACTATTAACACGACGACTGCGTTTTTGTCCGCATGGACGTTATAATGTAACGAAATGACTGATGCGCAAAAAAAAATAATTGACTTTGCAAGTAAAACACACATTTATTTACAGATTATACAAAAATATAGTCTATTAAATGATTAAGTTTGGTTTTTTTTTTCATGATGCAGACAGATATCAAATGAATGATGATAACTAAAAAGTCCGTATGAAATTTACAAAATAAAGATATATTTCGCCTCTTGAAACTATTGAAGGAAAAGGTCAAAGGTGGATATTAAATAAAGGCATCAAGCGTTCGGCTCGCGTATTTCTTAATATTCTTATTTACATGTGTGTGCACAACTCTCTTGTCACACACAAAATGTATTAATTAAAGAAAAAAAAGGGGGGACCTTTGTTCACCCCAAAAAGATCTTTTTAGGATTCACACATTGAAACCAATACGCGAACCCTGCCAACGGACCACAACATGCACCCGATGATGCCGGAAGGTCCAGGTCAATGTCGAAATAGTCATAAAGTCTCGGATCGAGAAACAAACCGAGACTTTTTTCGATGTCTAATTTGGCCGCCAGTGATTGTGCATCTTCCAGCGTGATCCTGAGATTGCGTTAAGAAACATTCGGTGAGATCACCATTCTGCATGAAGTCACAATTTAAAGAAATGTTTATCACCCACCATCTTTGATCACTATTCCTCGGCTTACGTCCGCCGGCCGACAATAACGACCATCTGTCCACACAGTTTGTGTCCACTCGACGTATCAGTCTAACCTCATTCTCATTCCCGCTCACCTTGACATTCGTGACAAAAACCTCCAGACCATTTATATTGCTTAAATAAATTTCTGGCGTCAGAGGTACGCGAGGTTGACAAGGGTTTCGTGTTTGCTGTTGGTTGTGATTTGATAGGAAATATTGGGGAAATGTTAGAAACACCGGGGTTGGCCTTGGCATGTTCCGGGGTCTGGTGGTATCGCGCCTGTCCCCATTCTCAGATGCCCTTCTTTTCTTTCCGCTAGGCGATATGAGCGGATCCATCTCGTCAAAACTACCCGTCGACGTGATTTCCATCTCATGGTCATTATACCCTGTATACATCAAGGTCTCATTGTTCATCGTTTGCTGAAGTTGTTGCTCCTGTGAGGTCGACCGATCGGAATAGACATTTTCTGCGATGTCGGGTGTGAAAGTTCGAAACCCATCGTTCCTTTTGTTTATTGGTGGGGAAGCGTGAAAGCGGTGATGATGGGAAGGGCTACCTTCATCCGATTGGCATGGTGATCCCACCACAGAAGTTTGTTGAGGATTTTCAATTAGTACCACCGAATCCTGGTAATTTGACGATTGCGGTGAGGTGGGTGGCGAAATGGGTTGTTGATGTTGAGAGTGAACCGTCGTCGGTGCGGTGATAGTATAGGGAGAGGACGACGAAGATACAACGCCCGGCGATGGAAAATGTTGAGTCAAAAGATTTCGTAGAATGTTGTCCGGATCCAATAAATAATAATTTATTTTATTCTTTAGGGTGGGATGATGTATTTTCCCGAGAATTGGTCGAGGCACTACCTTTTGTCGTACTCGAGTGAAGTGAGTAGAGATGTGCCCTGACACTGTCGCATAAGGAGTGCTTCCACTAGTACATATTCAAAAGACAGGTCATTTTTTTTAAAAATCTTTTTTATAATTATTTTGGAAGGAATTACGATGATCTTTCAATGGAATTAATTCCTTAAAAAATTTTTTTTTTTTGCACGAAATGCGATCACATGAACGAACCAACACCTACCCAAGTGTCGTAAAACCATATTTCTGGATGCACGTAGCTAATTGCCTGGGATTAGTGGGTTCATTCTTAATGGCGATCAATGCTTTGATAATTGCAACAAGAACTCGATCGGAAGCATCCAATGGATGTATGGTAGGATGTATTAATGAATAAATTTCTTCGACTAGTTGTTTGACTGAACGTTTATCTTGTATCGGTGCACTCTGCATAAGAATTGCAAATTTTAAATTTGGTTGCAAAGATCTCTCTTCTAAACAACCGAACGAAAATGGTATTTTAACTCGTGTGAAAGATTGTTGTTGCAAAGAACAGAAGGAAACAAAAAATGATGCAAATGTAAAACAAAACACAAAATGAAATAAAATAAAGATAATCTTTTACAAGACAAAAAAAAAGAGGTTAGGGTATTCAAAAAAAAAAAAAAAAGAAGGAATTTCAGCAGGATTGTCAATGGGTGGCGTATTTATAAGCAATATCAAAAAACTTGTGAACGGTGGGCGGTGATGATAAATGATGTAATGCTACAAGGCTACGGTCAGATTGTCAAAATGGCGCAGCTTCAAGAGTCAGATTACTGCGCTCGATGACGAGTCGCTATTATAAAATTGTTTTACGTAATTTCTTTTGATTCGTGATTAGTCACGTTTGTGATTATTTTAATATGATTTACTTTGCGCGGTTTTAACTCGGGGAGGCCCGGAGAAATTTCATTTTTTTTCTGTTGATCAAAACTTAAAACACATCTGCTGCATACAGTATATGAACAAATTTATTTGTCAAAAAGTGATACGTGCAGTACAATGTGCGATTATGAACAATGTATAGGGACGAAAGGTTTTACGCTCCGTGAATGATTGTTAAACCTGCGCAAACACCTCTGTCAAAGAAAGAAATTTTGGTTAGAATGTCCTTGGAAATCCTCAAACCTTTCTTCCGTAAATTCGAAAAGTTTGAAAACTCGTTTTATATTTGTTGACCTGTCGACTGTGTTCTTTGATTAATTGCTGGTATTGCTCGTCGTCCAGATTCATGTATGGAGCGAGGAACGCCTTGTAAGCTTTGAAAAGGTGATTGAATTCCAACAAGGCCTTTTAAGAAAGTTCGAAGACGGATGATAAAAAATGGGTTCATGTCATTCAATTGAAAAAAGAATTTGCGTACATACGATATCTCCGACTTTTCCACCCCAATTGCCTAGGGGGGTTTGTTTTTTCTCAATTCGTACGTCGGTAACTTGATCGTTATGTTCCAGACATCCTTCAAGGTCTTCCGCCAAAGGAATATTACACCCTTTCGATTTATGAAATTGTATCACTGGATGGGAAAACGAAAAAGAGTGAGAAGTCGAGGAGATGTACGACGAAGAGAGAGGGAGGGAGGGAATCGTCAAAAGATAATCACACGAATTTACAAGCAGCCTCGTGGTTGGCCCCACATTCGTTGGCACACACTCGACATCCATAATCTCGATCCACCCACCAGACTTGCAAACTCTGATTAATTCGTTAATCAACTTGATTCGACGCGACTCGCTAAACGAGTGTCCCATGAATCGAACGTGTATGAAGTCCATGATCCCCTCTGGAAAAGGAACACCTTGGACCAAATTGTGAACCAAGAATCCAGCATTTGATGTCGTGTCTTTGAGATTTTTCCACATGTTTGAAATGTCCACTCCGACAAATGTTGATGATGGATAAGTGGAAGAGACATCCAATATCCATGACCCTGAGCCACAGCTTAAAAATAAATCAAGAATCAATTTTAAGAATTCTGGGATCTGGTGATTGAGTGAATGAATGAATGAATGAATGAATGAATGAACGAACGAAAAGGGAATGCTAACCCAACATCAAGAACATTCGCGTGTCCGGAGGTCAACCTCTCCATGACGGGAGAGGAGAAATTTCCATTCCAGATATGTCTAATCAGATAATGTTGCATGCATTGTCTATCGGCCTCTTCGTTATCGTTTGGTAAGAAGTAAGATACATTTTCCACGTTGTGATATCTTCTCCCATTGATATATCGAAACTGTTCCATGAAACTGAGATCGTCATCTCCACGTTCTCGAGTTGGTGGTGTACACGGATTCATGTTAAACAAACAAACAAGCAAGGAAGGTTATATAAAGTTGGATTATATGATTCGATGGAGCCGTGTCAACTATACATAGAAAAGGAAGATAGATTGCGTAAGGAGAAAAAAAAAGCGAGCGAAGGAGGGATGCACAGAGGCATTTAAATTTAAATTCGATAGGGAAAAAAAAAAAAGAACGATGAAGACGGGGGCGGCGCACGAACGTTCCACCAAGATCGAATTAAAAATATCGCTGTTTTTATTTTTTGGTCAACAAGAAGTATGTAATGTGAGATACAAATTGAGAAAATTTAAAATTATTATTTTTTTAATTTTAATTTTAATTTTTTTTTTTTTTTGTTTGTTTCCTTTTACTGGTCAGATAAGACCGCCACTTGTGGGCCAAGTAAATAATGGTCGACAGAATGGATTCGCGAAAAAAATTTCTCTTTCAAAGTGCACCGAAGTGCACTCCGTTCTACTGCGACTCGTAGAAATGTGTGCAATGTCGAAATTAAAGAAGAGAAACTCGTTTGGATATGATTAGCGTTAGTTGAGAGACTTATACTATACTCGAGTTGGATGGATGAAAATTAGCGACATACGGCAATGTATGCATCCTGCATGCAATCCCCACATTGGGAGTTTGGATGTAAACAAAAGCAGGATTACGTATCAAATGTAAACAGGAGTGACAATTTTTGGAAAACAGCCGAAATTTGCCAAATTTCTTACGTTATGTTTATACATAATTTATGACAGGGAAAGGAAAGAGGAAGAAGCAATGGGATAAATTGCTTCCTTTTTAAAGCAAAATATTTTCATATATTGGAACCGTATTTCTCGTCTGTCCTCTTCTTATGGAGCTTCTTGCCGATCCAATCTCGAAGAAGGTGCAGACCGTATACGATAAAATAAACAACGACAAAGGAAACGAGGAACAGGACATATCGGATCGCCACCGTTGACGGTGAGCCTAGAATTTGATTTGATGTGGAAGATTGAGATAACTTTCTTTACAACACGTGACAAAGTCGCAAATCGATCGTCTTACCGTTTTTCCAATCCAAAAAACTGTAAACCCAAAGGCCCGAACTAGTTTGTTTTGAAGAATTTTTTTTTTTTTTTTTTTTTTTAGCTTGGTTAAAATAGCATGTATAAAGTGAGCGAACTAAAAAAAGAAGGTGAAAGTGAAAAATACACACCTTTCAAACACAACAAATGACTCCAGCATAAATAACAGTAATCCAAGACATGTTAGAATCACAAAGGATTTTTTCATGATTTGACGATTCAGAAATAATTCAATCATCATGGCCAAGAAATCTCCACCATGTACGGATATTGCCAACCACCAGATGTATGCTGGTGGGTTTGAGTCAATCAGGGAACCTGAGAGCAGCGCCCAGTAGACAAACACTACAATGAAGCTTTGTGTGGGTGATAGGAATGAGAATCCGGATGCTCTCAAATCGTGAATGGGCGAATGTACAAAAAAACTTACTGATAATGCACTATGGTATGATATAATACCCAGAATAACCAATTGAAGAAGTTTGGTTGTTGCTTAAAGGAAATTGGATCATGTGGTTCTGGAGTCCGGCAATAGATTACATTGTGAATGAAAGCCGCCTAGATAGAAAAAAAAAGGGTTAACATGCAGAAAATCCGACCAACCATTACTATATTTCGCAGGATAACTCGACTACCAACCGTAAAGTACAGGGTCTGGCCGACATAACTCAAGTTTGTAAAATAACAGAGGTAGCACTCTACGTCATTCGAATATCCATAAATTCCTAGTGAGTTATTATATAACACATATTGCAAGATCCTTCCAATCGACACGATCCAAAAATAAACGGTCATCAGTCCACGGTATATAGCTAATCCATTTGGACTGATGAACCAAGATGTCATCGAGAGTCTCGGATTGAATTCTCGGTAATGAAAAATTCCCATTGTTTTCTTAAATGCTTTATTCGGAGACTATCACTATCACTATTATTATTGTTAATATTGTTTTATAGAAGAAAAAGGTGATTATGTAAAAAAAAAAAAAAAAAAAAAAAAGGGTGGTTATGTAGAAGAAAAAAAGTTGGAATGTTGAAGGAAAACAGACATGCCAAGGTAAAATATGTGAAATGTGTGAAACAATGAGGAGAATGGAATGCACGAATGGTGTTAAGTGTACACAACCGAGATTCACAAACAACACTTGAAACCACAAAATTCACAAGGGTCGATGGTGTCGCCCTGTGCTAATCTCTTCCTAATCGCAAATATATCCTTTGGCGCTGCCAATTGAGAATCTTAATCCGGATTTTTGAAGCCCTTAAACGTGATTATGGAAAAATTGTCTCAGAGCCTCAGGGTAAGATTCCGTATGAAAATGAGAAGCCATTTAGCTCAACAAAAAGAAGAAAAGCTTTTCCTAATGCTAATTAATTGACTTCGACATTGAGAGACGAATAAGGAAACAAAAAAAAAAGGCATTTCAAAAATTCAAGTGCCAACCGGTTCCGGGATTATCTGCATCAGTCACGACCACGATACGAACATCAATCTCGTGATCGCGATTCGTGACCACAAGTAGCCGTTTGCTTAGACTCCATAAATCTCATCAAGATTTGGAATCCACCACATATTTTTAGAATAAAAAGAAAGAGGTCATGTTCAAATATGGTTTCACCGAAAATATGATTCCAGGTTATGGGTATTTACCTCGAAACGAGACTACTAAAAGATCCCTTATGTATTTGTCAAAAGAAATTCGAAAAGCGAACAAGGACACATGAAATTTATTAAGGATCAAGTAGTAAAAAGTAAAGGTTGGAAACGATTGATTGAATTATTTATATGAAAACTGCGATAAATAATAAACATTATTCTTTCCTCTCTCAGAAAATGTGACGACATGTGGCGCCTCGACGTATTGAATGCCCGACGATTTACTGTACATGGATTATGTTTTCAACGAGTGTCCTACACAAGTCTCTCTACATGAGTTGGACAAAACCGTAGAAATTGCGCAAACGAATCATCGCTTTCACTGCCAATCATAATTACTTGTGGCTTTGATGCCTAAGCCTCCAGCATGACAGGTTATCCATGAAGTAAAGGAATATTCTCTTTCACTTGTTTTGTTTATGTCAGTCGGGGAGTTTCGAAATGTGGCGCGCATGAAATTTTCAAACATTCGAAAACCAGTTTCTTATGTTTAAAGCCTCATGAATGCAAAGTTGCTGCATTGAATGTGTTTGGTGTGTCTCATCATTATCATGAATGTTCCGTTCGGCGGAGGAATTTTCTCTTTGACAATGCTGCCAAAATTTTTAACGTCACTGCGATGAGATCGAAAAATTTTTTTGAAATAAAAATCGATAGATAGATAAATAAATAAATAAATAAGCAAATAAAATAATTCGTTACGTTTAACGGAAACCTTTGGAAAACCCTTGCAGGCCTCATAATGAAGACTCGCAACGCCTACAACGCGAGACAAACCGTCTTCATGGTGTTATGGAACCACCGATATCTCGTGATGCTTATTTTCATCGCGACATACATCTCGCTTGAATTGTTTCACGGTATTAGGGAAGATGTAAATTCTTTTTGTCGAAATGTATGCAGACTCTTTCTGATTTAATTCTCTTGATCAATTTCTACCACCATCAACTGACAACCTCAAAACGACGAACAGATCCCGAAACGCAAGGGCTCTGATTTCGATCGACAATATACAACGATCCCTCTCTTTACGACCACCTACACCAGAAATCACTACCATCACTACCACAAAACTCCTCCTCCTCAGGGTATTCCCCAAGATTCCAACTACCCTTCACCTCTAAATGATTCTCAACCAAACCTTAAATTCTGCTCCGATTCCGACAAATGTAAATTCCTCTTTCCCTATCAACCACCGTCCTACAAAAGTTCAAAATCCATTCAGATTCAGTTCTTCACTTACGTGAATCTCGCTCAAATACTGAACCTCACGGTGGTATTACCATCAAATGTTGGTGAGGGCGGTCAATCTTTACTATTTCATTCGTGCGGAATCATTCAATCCAAGAATCGCGAAGAAGGAAATGACGACGACGACAACGATGATGATGATGATAGTGACGAAAAAAAGGAGTATAACGCGTCCGTTCTAAAAAAGTTATTTCCGAACGTACGGTTCATAGGACAGCACGAATTTAGACTGTGGATGAACTCCCGAATTCGCAAACCAAGCATAATTCACGAGTTCATTTCCGTTTGGGGTAGTAAGGTGGAAAGTGTCGAGGTGTTAAATAAGGATCATCCGGATTTTTATATTCACGAGTGGTCTGAGAAACTCGATTTTTCTCTTTTCGGTAAAAACCGCGTGAAAGATCGCGATGGCATCAATGATCGTGAACGAGTGACATTCAAGAAAATAAATTTGGGGTTAAAAAGCTTTTCCTCAAAAAAATCCGTTAAACGGGCGACGCAATTTTTACTGGACGAGCTGAAAAACAATGATGCCGAAGTATTATTGCTGGCCCATGACTTGAAATTCGACGAGTTTACCAAAGCCTTTTCGGCCATCAAAGACTCGAAAGATTACGTGTCTGTGGAAAAGATCGACGAGATCTGCAATAAAGTAAATTTGTAGAAACAATAAAAAAATTTTGTGTGATAAAAGACCAATGAGTTACTGAGATCGCATAATACAAGGCAAAGTTGGCGTAGTTGCCAGAATCGTATATTACAAATTTGGTACATAACATATCATACATGGAGGATCCCTTATTCTAATAACTAATGCATATTGTATATTTTGTATATTCTGGTTATATGAGATTCATATTTGTTTCTAAAAGTAGATTTCAATGGCTTGCTTGTACCTCCCTTCACACCCTTCGAATAATGTGATAACGGTTCTTTTTTCTTTTTGTTGGGGAATCTAACAGATTACACAATTCTTCTTTTGTCTTAGGCATTCTTCTCCTCCCTCCATCAACAAGTACTTCACCCCACTCTTGGATTTATCCGCATGCTGTTCTTCGCAAGCTACCAACAACAATTCTGCCTTTATGGTGATGGTTTTCAGCTTTCCCATGACGTAGGGAATCCCAGAAACCTTGTCACTTGCTCTATTTCTTCCCACGAACCCTGCCGTTGACGTCAACCTCTTGTTTTTGGAACGCAACGGTGCCGACCACCATCCCTTGGTTGATATGCATCCGTCCACCGGCGTAATCAATCGCCCGTGGGTCACATAGCACGCTTTGGTGTAAGGCTTCCTCGAGTGACAATCGTAAATGTAGATTCTTGCCTCCTTCTCCTCGGAATCCACCCCCCAACCCAAGTACTGTATCGAATTGTTTACCGGTCGTTGTCTCCAGACCCCACCACCGCATAAGATCAACCCTTCTAGATTTACACGTTTCGGTCCAATGGTTCCCTTGGGTTGTGTAGAATCCACGAAGAACGTTGATATGAGGGTTTCTCCGCTCAGGCTTTTGAAGGTGAAATCGAATGCATAGTGAGTTTCCGACAATTCCAGGAGATCATACCTTGACATGTATACCTAGAGACGAACGAATGATCAGACCAATCAACTTTCAAATTTGACCATGTCATGAAATTAGTTCATGGACATACTGTACATACCAATAGACGTTTCCTTTGATTAGAAAAAACCTCGGTAAATCGATCGATTATTATTTCTCGGATTCGTTGGTTAAAATACTTTGATAACACCATAAATCTACAAAGTTCCCGAGTTGGCAAGTATGCCATCACCTCGAGTAATGCTTCGTGAGACAGCTCAAACATTTTGTTACAATCACTTTATCGAAAACGAAAAAATCTTTATTGAAGATTCTATTTGAGAGAAAGAATGCGAAAAATGTTTTTTTTTTTTAAAAAGATCTTTCTAAAAGAGATTACGGATAGAGTTGAACAAATCGATTATTAAAGGAAACACAGTTGGCAAATTTTCATCATATTTATAACGTCTCATTCGCTGTCCTGACTATTTTTCTACCAAGGATTTTTTTTTATTTTTGGAAATGAAGCACGCACAATACATAATAAAAGAGTTACATATATTTACCTTCGTGTATGCATACATAATGTTTACGTATGTATACAATATCCGTACACATAGAAGTGAACCAGATATTGTAAAACAAACATCTGGCATGCGGACTTCCGGCTTCTTGTTTTCTCAAAAAACTGCTTATCCTATTTTTCGTCTATCCTTTTTACAAGCATGCATGTAGTTCTGGAGTTTGAATTGATATTTACTTAATATAGCAGTGTTACTATATTTAACATATGAATGAATTTGCTTTTCGCACCAATCCTTTTTCAAACCTTCTTTTTGTGTTCCTTTTCAAGGATAGCTACGTAAGTCGGAATTTTATAGAAAAGAAAAAAAAGAAACATATATGCGAATATCAAAGATTCCCGTCAAGCAAAAATTGAAATTAGAAAATTAGAATAATAATATTTTTATTTTTAGCCATTACCATTATTTTGACAACTTGAATCCGCACCTAATTGGTTGTTTCAAGGGACCAGATAAGCAACTCAATGAATAAAACTAGTGAGGAGTTAGTTGATTCACCATGAGATTCTGGACTCAACATTCCGCACTCTTAACCCCCAATCCTTTCTCATCAACCTAACCTTTCTTCCGTGGAACGAATGCATCGTGTATGAGATAATCGACGGTCGTAAGTGGATAATTGACGAAAAAATACGTTGTACGCGCAATGATGTTAATGATGTTAATGAATAAATGAATTCGTGTGATCCTCTTTTACAAAATAAGGGTAATGGTCAAAGATATTCATTTCCCTGAAGAAAATGTCTTCATAATGAAATAACCGATGTGGGATGTTGACGCCACACCCATATTATTAACGTGGCTTGGCGATTCCACGCCTCTATATTATCAAGCATAAAAGAACAATCATGAAATTCCTCGTTATAGGAAACAAGGAAATTTCCATGCATCACTCACTATAAAAATCCCAACGTCTCATGAACGTCTGCAAAATAAGGTGAAACCTAATTTAAACCACAAGATCATTCATCCATAAGACTTTGTTCTTCTTTAAAAGTCATTATGCGCAGAGTTTCTACCACGTGACATGAATCCGGCGCCACCAAACTCTAATAATAATAACAGTTGCAGCGATGCTCTGTAAAAATAACATCATTCTATAAAAATATTTATCGACTTGGCACCAAGCAAATTGTATTATACTAGATCAATCCATTCTTTAATAAATTGAATTGGAACGTATGCACAGTATTGTACTTGATATAAATATGTGTAATTTTTCATTTTAATTTACAGTATATATACTGTACAGTGAGTGTATGGCATATCGTAAATTAAATTTCAAATCTCAAAAAAATCCGCATCTTAATCATTTTACCATGATTACCATAATTACCATAAAAATAATTAACTTATTATATTTTATTATAATATTATTAATTAAAAATACAAATTCTTTTTATTAATTCTTTTAACTACTATTTTAAAATAATGTTTAATAATTGTTTTGTTTTTTTTTATAATAAAGTTTATATAAATGATAAAAGTTTACTAAAGCTAATAATAGAAGCTACAGACCCACAGACAAATCACAACAGCAACACCATTAAATCACAAGTCTTTATCTCAACTCTGGAAGGGCATTAACCATTCAGCACTATAACTAATCTGAAGTACACTAAATGTAACTAGAGTAGGGATAGTTAGCATTGTAGATAGATTAATATTAATTTATAAATTCAACTTTGTAAAGATGTTTGATGTAATCTGAATATGTTATATATATTAATAAAGTTTTGTATCTAATGCCCTTTTATGACGTAAAAAAAAAAAAAAAAAAAAGATATTTATAATTACTTATCATATAATAGAATATATTATTATTATTATTATTATTATTATTATTATTATTTTTTTTAAGGGCTAAGTTGCGATACACGCATGGATTTAGAATATATTATTTTAAATTTTCTTTTTAATATTAGTTATATAATTATTGTAAACAAATCAATATTTAAATCTATGTATTAATATATAAAAAATATTGTTTCTTTTATAATATATTATTATATACAAATTAAATAAAAAAATGATATTTATCTATAAAATATATACAGTATGAGTCATATATTTTTGGAATTTTTTTAACTTTGTATTTTATCTTAATATTAAATAAAAAAAT